GAAAAACGACCGGAATATGGAAAAAGGCAACACAAAGTCATTTTGCTCCATGATAATGCCCCATCACACACAGCAAAACGGGTCAGGGAAACGATCGAGGCGTTCAGTTGGGAAATACTAACGCATGCGGCTTATTCTCCAGACTTGGCTCCGTCCGATTATCATCTATTCGCATCAATGGGACATGCTCTCGCTGAACAACGCTTCAATTCGTATGAAAATGTACGAAAATGGCTCGATAGCTGGTTCGCTTAAAAAAAAGAAATGTTTTTTTGGTGTGGCATTCATAAACTGCTGGAGAGGTGGGAAAAATGTATAAATAGCAATGGACATTATTTTGAATAAAATGTTTTTTATCATTTTCAAACAACAGACGTGTAATTTTTACAAAAAAATTCCGGTTTCATACTTCTACACCTGGTATATATGTCTCTATATTTTTAAATGTTTCTATATTTCTTTTTGTGCTTCTTGATCATTTATTTTGCGACGTTATAGGCGAGAAATGACATGCAGTAAGTTTCTTGCGTTATATAGCTTTATTCTTTAATTTTTCCTGGAAAACAATGATTTCGTAATCTTGAAACTTATAAAATGTGCAGAAAATTGAGATATCTAACCAATATGTCACGTAGACTCGTAAAATCTAAGCCTTGAAATAACGGGGCCTTTTTCAACCATACTCAGGTGGTCGTTATAGCTGAAATGACTAAAAAATGACCTATTATTTCAAAAATTATTTTGCGATTCTACGTGACATCGACCAGGTATCTGTTTTTTCACATTTCACAGGTTTCAAGATTACGAAATCATTGTATTTCTCAGAAAAAATTAAAAAATAAAACTATACAACGTAAGAAACTTACTGCATGTCATTTCTTGCCTATAATAAAACCAATATGGCTAACAAGGAGCCAAGCCTTAATAAAGTTAAAAATAACATTAGAATGTACCATATATTAATTGTGTGTGTGTGTGTGTGTCAATCTAATTTATAAACACACACACACACACACACACACAGAGCCAGACAGACAGACAGACAGAGATATATATATTAGGTGTACAAATTAATTCGGTGCTTTTATATTTCATACATTATAACTTCGTTTTAAAACTAAATAGTTTCCCGCCCTCTTACGATTTATGTGTATCATTAAGTTCTCAAAACACTATGTGCTTTGGTGAAGCAAGTGACATAATCACTAAACAACAGTGAATACGACGGCGGTCGATAATCAGAATTTGAAACACTAAATTCTTTTTGCATTTCAATTAAAGAAATTAGCAAAAGTTATGGAGATGATTTGTGCCACTTAGGGTGAAAGTGCTGTGATTCATAAAACTTTTAAAAAGACCTTTTACCAGCAATGGAACTAGACAGGTGTTTCTGCTGAAAGATAACTCTCGACCACATGCCGTAAAAGGGACGAAATATTTCATCTATACATTGGATTGGGAAATTCTCCCTCATGCGGTTTATTCGCCAGATCTAGCTCTGTCGGATTATCACTTATTTCGGTCGCTTCAACATCACCTGGCTGATGAGCACTTTAAAACAGTTGACGAAGTCCAAAAAAGCATCGATGACTTATCGAGTCAAAATCGCCAAGTTTCTTCCGCGAGGGTATTCGCAAATTACGCGAAAGATGGAGTAAAGTCATCGAAAATAATAGAGATTATCTCGAATATTAAATGTGTACTTATCTTTTTGTGAATAAACTTTGAATTTCACGGAAAAAGGCATCGAATTAATTTGTACATTAAAAAAATTAATATTTTTATTTATGATAATTATATTTAAAAATATATTAAATAGATGGTATATATTTTAAATTATAACGCCAATAGATTTTCTCATCACCTTTAAGACACTACTGTTAATGCGTTTTTTTAAGTGATTTCCTCAGTAGGTCTATTCCACTAACGTTGCTAAATTCATTTCCATGTTGTGGATCTGAAGATAGAAGCATCTACTTAGTATTTGATGAACTTAACAATAATAATAACAACAACAATAACAATAATAATATTAACAATATTATTTTAAACTGAAAAATTGAACGGCACGTGGGACAACATTCATCAAACTCTATACGATTTTAAATTAATATCATCTCTGAGATTGTGCGTCTTACGTCTCCGAGAGGAGTTTAAACCAGAAGTCAACAAAATCTACACACTTCGCCCGATTTTCAGCTCGCCCTGCCTACCGCTATTCTTCTTACGCCTTTCTCCGTGCGCGGCCTACGAGCCGCACGAATCTTAATAACGTACGATGCGTGAACTTGTTTTCAATAGTTTTTCAGGTCACCTATGAGGTATTATTATTAACGCGTTTTTTTTTTTAATGGTATCCCCTAGTAGACTTAATCTATTAATGATTAAAACGAATTTTTATGTTATTCAAAAGTAGCAAAATAAAATAATAAATGAAGAATCGACATTCAATCTGACTTTCGGAACCTTTTACGCGGTAAAATTTATCGCGTCTTGCTGCGTGTAATATGCAGCTTGATATTCCTAATCTATAAAAGATCTCGAAGTCAAATTAAATGTCGGTTTTTCATTGAATTTATTGTTTCATTCTAATAAAATCGGGCGAAGTGTGCAAATTTTGCCGATCTGGATATCGATCATGTAATCTCACACGAAAGATTTCACTTTTCATTTTCCGCTGTACTGATTCCGAATAGTGAACTTTTTCACTATTCGCGTGATTATGTAAAGCTGAATGTATGAAAAGTAAAAATTATCAAATATTAATAATGGTATAATATCGAAGAAGCGAGCCTGTCATTTGAACATCTAATCAACATTCTAACCTTAAAAATAACTCTATAATCTTAGAAACGTTACGTTTCTTGTATTTCAATGTAGTAGTAACATTAGTAGTGCTTTCCATTTGAAGACACAAGTCGACAATGAATAACAAAGGTTAGAATGATGCTTGTATCGATTTGTGTCATTAAATGGAAAGCATCAATTATATACTGGATCAGTCATATCACTAGGTTTTTACCTTTTTGCCGGCAAATTTGATGGCGAGGAAGTTCACGTGAATAATTTCACGTTTCCATGTTTCGTCGACGTAAGGCGGGCATCTACAATGAGAATTTAAGCTCTAAGCCTTAAGAAATTTACCAATCACAATTTATTATTTTTCTATAATTCGATTGTGATTGGTCAATTTTTCAAGGCTTAAGGTTTAAAGTACTTATTGTAGACCAGGGCTTATATGATCACGAATTTTTTTTACTTTTCACATTTCTACTCGAAGGAAAAAGTTACGTGATCGATACCCTGGTCTAAACATTATGAAACGAGAGGAGCAGGGATGGCAGTCGGCAGTAACCATGGAAAAGTGCAAATTAAGGGCAGTCCTATTATATAGAGTCCACCAAAATTCGAACCAAATTAACAATTTATTTAAACAAAATTCTATTCGTCAAAATATAAAAATTACAAAAAAATTTTTCACTAATCACTAGTGATATACTTTTAGAGTAAAATTACTCTATATAACCCCCTTTTATTTCAATGATTGCTTCGATCCTCGTCCTGAAGCGCTGGCACGCTCTCATGTCCTTGTCCATATTAGTGAATGCCGCTTGGATAGCGGCCTGGAGAGATCTCATGTTGGGATGTCTCGACTTATTGGTCACTCATTCAATGACATTCCATACGTAGTAGTCCAACGGATTCAAATCTGAACTAATCGGAGGCCAGAATTCCTTGAACCAAAATATGTCCACATTATCTGACAGCCAGTTTTGAACTAAGTGACTTGTGTGCGTTGGTGCGTCGTCCTGCTGAAAGACGTACGGTCTCCCGGCGGCTACGGTATCTATCCACGGCTTCATTATCTCCGTTAAAACGCGTAAATAAACCTTTTTTGTGACAGTTTCTTTCTTTTGGAAGAAATGTGACGGTACGACGTGATCCTCATTGGAGACGACGCCTAGGACGTGAACAGAGGCCAGAAACTTCATCCTATTATATTTAGCCGCAACATCATATACGGTCGATCTCGGGTACCCGAAGAACCGAATAATTTTGGTCTCCGAACACCCAGCGTGAAGGCCTTCGATTATACTCCGCATTCGATCTTATCTGCTCGGACATTTTGAGGTTATGCACGCTTACTACAAACATCTGACTTGCCCGAACGTCAACAACGACCTACCGCCGAAGTCAAATGAGGCGGAAAATTCAAATTTAAATTTGTCCGGATTTTGGTGGCGGATCCTGTATATCAAAGCGCGAAAACGTTAATTTCTTTATGAGTTTTTAAAGATTATATAAATCATTTATTATGATTGATATTTTCTTACAATAGTGTCTAAGCTACATGTTATCAATCATGTCAATAAACATCCTTATAAGTATATAATATTCCTCAAATATTATATGAATATTATTAAATATTAAAATAATATTTTTATAATATTCTAAAAATGTTATATGATATTTTTTAATATTATAAGGAATTTTCTATTCATGTTATATGTCCACTTCACATAATATTCTTGGCATAATATAAAAATGTTTTTAGAATTTTTAAAAAATAATAATATAGAAACATATATGAGAAAATACATATATATATATTTTTTTTTCTTATATATGTTTTCATATTATTATTATTTTAAAATATTATTAAATATAATAATAATAAAAAATAATATTAAGAGTAGACATATAACATCTATTAATATTTCAGAAATATTATTTAATATTATAGGGATTTAGCATAAATTTGTTGAGCTTCTTCGTGTATTAATTACTACCTTTCAATATCGTTATGGACCAACTACCCTAAAATCTTTGTGATCAAGTTTCAAATCCAGATCGACTTCTCTTTACATTGTATATGTTTGGCATCCTCGAATTAAAACAGATGTCTAGGCAGATTCGTCAGAGTACTCGTCACTAAAATTAAGAATGCGGGTTATGGTACATACCTTATAACCTCTGACATTTCTCATGACAATCGAAGTGCTGAAGATACAAGTGAGAACCAAATCGCCACAAATTCTCAAACGAAATCTATTTTCTCCACTTTCTCAGACCTCACGTAACATCGTCCATTGTTGACATCTTAAGTGGGGCCGTCTGACGCGTCTCGAATTGATGAGCGTGAAGGTAAAGAATGAGGCACGAAAAAGCATCGAAGCACTCTCCCTCCTCCACTTACCCCTTTCGATCGCTACGAAAAATCGCATACATCATATTCATCGTTTTCCAGGAAAATCTCACCGGAAGTGTTGCCGTCGTGCTCGCCGGGCGTATTTCGGCAGAAGTCGTTTCGCTCGTCCACGCCGCCAAATTTACCAGCAGTGTCAGCAGTAGTGTCGGTGACCGCGAGCTCAGGTCCGCGGAACGACGGTCAGGGGGGCGTACCTGCCGCGAACGATCGCTGCGCTGCGTACCTCCCCCCCAACAGCAGCGCCGCCATCGTCACGAGCGCCGTTGCGACACGTGATTGCAGCGCGCGGGCAGCCTCGTTATCGTCGCTGTCGCGGGGCACCCGAGCAGCCGCTAAGCACGCGCGCCTCGGCCCGGCACTGGCCAGCAAAATGGCGTCCGCGAGCTCCTCGACGGTCGTGCAGGGCTGGCCGAATACCAAGGACGACTACGAGCTGAAGGAGGTTATCGGTAAGTACCGATTGCCGGCCGGGTTACCCGACACCTAGACGAGCGCGCTGTTCCACCGAGAAGTCGCGCTCCCGCCGTGGCAGCGCGCTCGACTGGGGACGCGCACCGGCTGACCGACGTCCGCGACGTCAGGGAGATAGCGGAACGTCACGCTACGATGACGATGGTCGTGACTGAGGATAGGAATGAAGACGAGGACAACATCGGTGACGCGTCGGCCGCCTCGTTCTGCGTTAAATGTGACGAAACTACGCGATCTGGTGTCTCCTCGATCATCGCAAGATCTGGCGACGCGACGGCTGCTGGAAAGCGCATTGTCCCACTCGCTCAGCACGGAGTGCCACACGAGTATATACGTTCTACCATAACCTAGTTAACCTGCACCAGAGGACGGTCGGTGCGTGTTCATCAGGGCTGTATTCTCGTGTTAGAGCCGTAACTCTCCCGCTGGACGAGTCATCGCGTTAGCTGTCACGCCGATGATCGGTGGAAAGTATAGGTCGAGCAGGAATTCGCGAATCATATTGTTGGTTTCAGCTGGGGACGTCAGGAGCGATGAATATACGAATGTCGTTTTTACGGAAAACGAGTTTGCCTTTTCTTTTTTATTTCCTAGCTAATGTATAATTTATATTATTTCAATTTTACTTTGATATATATTCATTGATGCGTAGGAAAGAAATGTCTTCGGAAGTGCCCGAATCACGGAAATAAATCGATTCATTTGATCAAATCTTGTTCGCGGTACTTTTTAAATTTTCAAATTCTACGCGCATTTTATGCAAATTTCATTTTTACTGGAAATAACTTTGCCCTTTTTTTCTTAATTTCCTTACCACTGTGTAATTTGTGCAATTTTAGTTTTGTTTTATATATATTCTCTTATAAATGGAAGGAAATATCTTCGAAAGAGGCGCGCGAATGACAAAAATTAATCGATTTATTATCTATCGATTCACTATGTCGAATCCTATTCGCAGCAATTTTCAAATGTTCAAATTCTATGTACATTTTATACAAACGTTGTTTTTATTGAAAACGAGTTCGTTTTTCATTTTTTATTTTCTTACTACTGTGTAGTTTCTGCAATTTTAATTTTACTTGGATGTATTCTTTCATATATAAGAAAAAATGTCTTCGGAAGAGACGCACATATATCGAAAATAAATCGATTTGTTATCTATTGGCTTACTAGATCGAATTCTGTTCTCATGGCAGTTTTTAAGTTTTCAAATTCTATAATATTTCTATAGAAAAAAATATGTTCGGAAAAGGCATGAATAAATCGATTCGCTATCTATCAATTCACTAAATTGAATCCTATTCGCGATAATTTTTAGATTTCAAATTTAAATCCTATGCATATTTTACTAGTATGCGCATAATACTTAGAGAAACGTAATTTTTCGATGTTATGGGAAAATAATATTAATATCGTCGTTAAAAATAAATAAGAGAGCATATCTTTTAGAAAAGAGAAGTTCTTTTTTGCAATCCGCAATATTTTGCCGGTAGTGCATTGTGTATTTAGGAACGTCGGCTGCAAGTGTCGTTAATGGAACTAAATCGGTATCCCTTCGCTATTCCGTTTTTAGCCACATTTTACAGCACCTCATCATACTATGGTAACAAATAATGTTAGATTCATCGATATTTTTGATTGTTTCCCTACCTATAATTAGAAATTCTTGAAACATCGAGGGTTATAAGTAGAACTTGCAATTATTAAATTTATCGATATCTCTGTGAAATTTCAGGAGTTGGAGCGACTGCCGTGGTGCACGCAGCATTTTGCATACCACGACAAGAGAAATGTGCAATCAAGAGAATAAATCTAGAAAAATGGAACACAAACATGGACGAGTTATTGGTGAGTTCCTTTCTTTTTTTTTTTTACGGATCTTGTCACAGGATTACGCATAACAGCGACAGATCAATATGACATCTCCTGATAAAACTTCTACGTGTTGTATGATTCATTGGATTATTGTTCTTATCAATTATAACGTTTGCCGTGTCCAGCAGGATATGAACATTTCATATTACGTAGCAGTAGCATGACTACCCTCGATATGACTTTTCCTATCTCCTGCTTATCTCGATATACTCTTATTTGTCCCTCGATAAAATGTAGATTCAGAAGCGTTATCTCATGGAAAATTTATATTTTTCAATATATCTTTTTTTTTCAATACATTAAATAAAATAATATACATCGATTTTTGAGAGGCGCGAGAGAAAGATATTTTTACTAATCGATGCATTCTTTGTGCGGGGGGAAAATTAGAAAGAGATACAGGCAATGTCCTCTTGCAATCACGAAAACGTTGTGACGTACTACACGTCGTTTGTGGTGAAGGAGGAGCTCTGGCTAGTCCTGAGATTGCTAGAAGGTGGATCCTTACTGGATATTATCAAACATAAAACCAGGACCACCAATTGCAAGCACGGGGTGTTCGATGAAGCCACCATAGCTACGGTGCTCCGAGAAGTGCTCAAGGGACTTGAATATTTTCACAGCAACGGACAGATTCACAGGTGATCCAATGTCATTCTCTCTCTCTCTCTCTCTCTCTCTCTCTCTCTCTCTCTCTCTCTCTCTCTCTCTCTTTTGAATAATCGCAATTTATCTTTCTTCGTGCGACATATTTTAGTCTTCACATTTTCTCCACATTTATTCTTCGGCTGAAACTCTCAGCCACTGGATTATTCTACTATTAACACATGAAAGACCAGTCACGGGATCTTTCTCTCCTCAAAGCTCAAGCGCGGGATACTGGTCACAAGTTTCCTCGAGTTTTCGCTTCTCGTTATACGAAATCTAGAAGAATATACGAATCAGAAACAATAATTATAAAGCGCTTAATGCCTTCTTATGTGGGAAAATGTAAGCAATAAAGATTTTTGCATAATGCCAGGCAACAGAAACAGAGAATAACACAGGCAATAGATTTCCAACCTATCGGAAACCTATAAATGCACAGCAATTGATACACGGTTTCCTATAGGTTGGAAATCTATTGCCTATGTTATTCTTTATTCTTGTTGTCTGTTGCTTGACATTGTGCAAGGACCTTTAGAGTTAAGCAGTAAGGATATTTCAACTATTTGAAATCCTAATTACTTTTCTGCTTAAAGCTAAACTTATCGTCACACTTTTATCATTTTTTGGAATATGTAAATCTAAAGAAATAAACTGATTGGTTGGTCAACTTCCTTATTGTTTATATTTTTCCATGTGTTTCCAAAACTTTTACTAAGCTACTTTTTCTGCTGAACGTAAGCAATCAAGCTTAGAGTGAATTCTGATTCCGTACAGTCGGCGTCATATATGTTGTACCATTCCTTAGATTGAAACTTTTTAATATTACACAATTTCTTTCACTAGCCTTTCTCACGTCCATATATAAGCTCGAAACTATTTCAACGTTTGTTCTTTTTCGCCGAATTGGCTGCACTAGCTTGTACTAGTTCTTTTCTCCTTTTTCTCCTTTTTCTTTCACCAAGTTTTAACCATATATTTGCCTCTTTTTAAATTCTATAAATATGTACTATATGTACTTCAGCTAAAAAAAGATACTTAAAAATGCTTATAATTAGAGCCAAAAAACTCGACTATTATAACTAGAGTTATTTTTGTGATTTTTAACCATATGCGTTATGTATAAGACAGATAATCGTTCAATTTTCTGTCTGAATGAATTCCGATGAGAATGATACAGCACGCATAGTGTCGGTCGTACAAGTGAGTGTTTCCATCGATTAGAGCGAATTTGTCTCCATGAGGGGTGGAAAATACATTACATTCACTCTTCAGTTTCGAGTGAAGATATTCACTTAACGATTCAAAATTGAGAATTTATTTTATATAGTTGATGTCATGTATGCAGTATCATTCCCTAGATTGAAATATTTTACTATTATATGTGCGATTTTTAACTTTTCACCATGTGCACATAAGATCAAAACTATTATTATTAGAACCATTGTAATTAGAGTTACTTCTGCAATTTTCAATTTTACGCTTTATGTGTGAGAGACTTAGGAGAATGGCTGACTTGTAAGTTTGGATCTATAACAGATGTAGTAAATCTTTAGTTTTTTACTCCAAGCACTAAATTCTAATTACTAGCGAAACGTATTTTTAGTGCTATCAGATACTACAATTCTTAAGTTTTAAGCGTTATTACAGTCTTTGACAGCACTGGAAATATCTTTTGTCAGATATCACGTTATATTTTATTACTTTGAGCGAGAAAAAACCTAAGGCTTACTACATCTATTGTAGATCCGATCTAATTTTAAGACTATATTTTATAATAACTAAAGTATACTAAATCTTGTCTAAATTATCATTTTTTTACCTTTTTTTTTCTACAGTGGTTTGTCATCCATTATAAATAGAACGGTTCTTTAGTTTAAGACTAGATACAAGACAGTCGTTGTGTGCTGTTTAAGACAAAGACTTAAAACGTTATCTTAAACTGATAAGTCAACCATTCTGTTAAGACCATAAGGCGGAAAATCGTATAACTCTCTGTCTAAGGAATGGTACAAGATATATGTAATGCCGACTGTACATAAAGAAAAAGATTTTTGTGGATTTGATAACATTTTTTAAATTGAAATAATTTTATCTTTTGGAGTGGAACAAACAAACGAACGTTTGAATCAACAAACAGAATTGTTCGATTTCCCAAGCAATAAATATCTTTATGTCAAAAATAGCATATTTCTTTTATATTTTCATCCAAACATTACACTGGTTGTCATAAGTAATAACTCTTTGAATGAAACAACATTATGTCGGAAATATATTTAAAAACTTCTTTGTTTCAGTGGAACGTTAGTTAATATATAATATATAATGAAATCAATTTTTCTTTTATTAAAAATCAAACATCAAGTTTTTTAAATAATTCTGTTTTTCCTATAATAAAATAATGGTTTGGCCTAATGAAACAACATTTTCATTCAAATAAAATGATATTTGATGTTAAATTATGTTGTTTATATTAAACAAATCCATGTAAAACACGTATATTAAATTCAAAGAAATCCTTTTCTTTATGTACGAGTAAAAAATCACTCGAATCTGACTCGAACTCGGTTCTCGCTCCACCTTTCGAGTGAAATTTCACACGAAAAAATTCAGAGAATGCCACGATGGAAAATTCGCGAGAGCGGAGTATTTCGTGTCGGAGCTTTGAACGAGAGATCCCGCGAGAGCGGTCTCTCGTGTGATCGAGATAAGCAAACTTACGCTATCTTATTTACCACGTGCATAGACGAATTTTAACGGTAGAATAACATTAGGGACATAAAAGCGGGTAATATCCTACTAGGCGAGGATGGTACGGTGCAGATCGCCGACTTCGGTGTCAGCGCGTGGCTCGCGACCGGCCGCGACCTCAGCAGACAGAAAGTCCGGCACACCTTCGTTGGTACGCCGTGTTGGATGGCGCCCGAGGTCATGGAGCAGGTGAGAGAGGAAAGTAACACTACGACTTCTTAGCCTGCGTTTTCTGTGTCTGCCTTACGTTTTACTTGTGTTTGCATTTGTCGGTGTAACAAACACGATGGACACACGACACTGTGTGTCGCGAGAACGGGAAATGAATTCGTGCGCCGGCTACGAGATCGCGTGTAAAATACCGTTTCTGCTATCGTCGATCGACCGACCGACAACGCACGGCGCATATCTCCCCCCCCCCCCCCCCNTCGTGTTGTTTAGCTGTTGCGTGCCACACAAGGAAATGCTTTTATCACCTTGTTAAGGCAAGAATTAATTTGAGTTAGCAATCATGTCATTTGTTGAGCATGACACGATCCATGTGTTCGGCATGTTATATGCAAGTAGCCACATAGAGAAAACCACTGAGAAAATATACGTCACGATATCACGACGCCGCGGATTGCCTGCGACGAAATTGCTGCTGCCTCGATCTATATCCAGCACATTGTGCGCGTCATTGTTCTTTTCATCCTGTAATTGGAGCTTTCGCACGAAAAATGCTATAATCTTAAATATAAGATGTGAGTTTAAACTGAAGAATTAATATCAAGATATCGCTTTAGATTTATGTACTCTAAAAAAGGATTCAAGTAAGCATGTAATTAGTTATTTCATAACTAGGAACCTGTCGAATCTTAATTACTTCTATTTATGATGAGGTTTAATGTTAGTCCTATTTTCTTTCAGAACACAAATCTAAAGCAATATCCCTTGGTTCTTCAACTTAAGGTGGTTGGTCTGTAAACCTCTTTTCTCAAGAATCTTTTTTATATGTTAATAGCATGTTAATCGAAACACGATCTATACACACAAATAGAGGAAGATTTATTGTACAGAAACTGAGATAATTGAAGTCGAAGTTAGCACTATTTACATATATCACGAGAGAAAACGACTCCCGATACCGCGTCTTTTAATTCTAATGACCAAACTACCCTTATCATTTTAATAAAAAACGGGAAGATATTAAAAAGAACTTGTAGAAATATTATAAAAATTACAAGACCATTGAACATTTAATTTTTCAGAAATTGATATATAAAGTACACAATTTCCGATAACGGTTGAAGTATACAACAGTTGACCCTCCTGTAAAGAT